AAAAAAAATAGAGAATAGAAAAATGCTGGAATCCTTGAATGAACAACATAGGAAAGAAATAGAATGTGTGAAGGAGATTCAAAGAGATATACAGTAAGTTAAAACCTCAATCACAAGCTGGCAAAACTGTTTGAATGAAACTGAAGACAGAGTATTAGACCTTGAAGACACCATTGTCTAGTGAAAAGGTAAGAAAAGATTTATTAAAAACAACTAGGTTGCAGGAAAAAATAATTCAACATCTGCAAGATGATGCAAAGATGAACAATGTGAGAGTAATAGGCATCAATGAGAAAGAAGTCAATAAAAATGATAGAAAAAAAAAAATATGGGCAGAAGTAACAGCAGAAAACTTCCAAAACATGGGGAAACAATCTGACATTCAGGTAACTGAAGCATATAGAACTCCAAAAAACATCAACCCAGTTAAAATCACACCCAGTCATATAATAATCAAGATCCCAGAAAGTCAGCACAAGAACAATATGCTGAAAGCCTCTAGAGAAAAGAATCAGATCACATTTAAAGGAAAGCACACCAGAATAATGGCAAATTTCACTTCAAAAACCATCAAGTCATGAAGCGCATGCAGCAAAGTACTGCAAGTCTTGCAAGAAGACAAATTCCAACACAGACTGATATATCCTATAAAACTGTTTCAAGTTCAATGGAAGAGTTAAATACTTCCATGACAAAGAACAACTAATGAATTTCATGATGACAAAGTCAACCCTATACAGATTACTAAAAGATATGCTAGGGAGGGATCAAAATGACTACAACTACACAAATGAGAGTGGAAAGAACCCACCAAATAGAACAAACAATTAAACATAGGATAAAAAAAGGTATACAACAGCAGGTAAATAAAATGTCAATCATAAGGCAATATGTCTTAGTTATAACCATCAATGTAAATGGACTCAATTCACCAATTAAAAGAAATAGACTGGCAGAATGGATTAGGAAGCAAAACCAAACAATATGCTGCATACAAGAAACACACTTCAGTCATAAATCAATTAATAGGCTGAGAGTCAAAAGATGGAAAACAATACTACATACCCCAGGACCTCAGAAAAAAAATGTGGATAGCAATCCAATTTACAGACAGTCTGAACTTCAAACCAAGAAGGATCAAATGGAAATAAAAGGCCACTACATACTGGTATTGGCAAAAATTCAAGAAGAAGTAACACTCATAAATATGTATGCACCAAACATGGGAGCTCCCAAGTATATAAAGCAAATCTTAATGGACATGGACATCTAATATCCAATACCACAATCTTAACAGGAGACCCTAAAACATCCTTATCCCAAAAAGAAAGGTCAACCAGACAAGAAATTATCAAAGAAGTAGAATTGAACCAGAACTTGGAACGAATGGACTTAGTGGACATATACAGAGTGTTCCACCCAATGAAATCTGAATATACATTTTTTTTCAGCTGTACATAGAATGATTTCTAAAATAGACCACATACTGGTCCATAGGCCATGCTTAAGTATATGCAAGAAAACAGAAATTATCCCATGCATATTTCCTGACCACAGTGCAATGAAACTAGAAATAAATGACAAAATAAACCACAAAAAAACATAAATACATGGAAATTAAACAACATCCTCCTCAGCAACCAATGGGCTCCAGATGAAATTAAACAAGAAATTGAACAATATCTACAGTTCAATGAAAATTGAAGCACAACTTATCAGAATTTATGGGATGCAACGAAAGCAGTGCTTAGAGGGAAATTTATAGCAGTGAACTCACACATTATGCAAACAGAATGGGAGCAAATAAATACCCTAATGCTGTGCCTCAAACCTCTTGAGAAAGAACAGCAAAACAAACCCAAAGTCCAAAGACGATAGGAAATTTTAAAGATTAGAGCAGAAATTAATACAATCAAGACAAAGAAACCAATACAAAGAAAATGAATTAAAAAGCTGGTTCTTTGAAAGAAGTATGTGGTCTATTTCTTTGTATTGTTTAAATACAATTGATAAGCCCCTAGCAAACCTCATCAAAAAAGAGGAAAGAAAAAATTCAAATTCAAACAATAAAGAATGAAAAGGGTGAAGTTACCACAGATATTGTGGAAAGTCAGAAAATCATCAATAGCTATTTTGTGAATCTTTATTCTCACAAAATCA